GTCTGTTGGTCTTCTTACCATGTCGCTCTCCCTCTCTTACACCTGCCTGGGTTAGAATGTGGACTGGTCTTCATACAAGCACACATCGCCCCTCTGTCACCATTGACAACAACCACACCCTGGCTCTGCGTACGTTGGACAAACCGGTTCTCACAGTCTGACCCGAGTCGGACTCCAACGGTTCATCTGTTTGTCTGTGTGTGTGGGACGTCTGTCAATAACGTTTATTAAATAAACACAGAGTCTGGAGCTGGATGATGGTCAGATTAATGTCTGCTGCAGAGGATCTAAAGGGAATGGAGGTCACACACACACACACACACAACCACACACACACTCTCAGTATGTCACTCTCCACCAGACTTCCATTCAAAATCACTCGATTTAAGCGGTGCTTCAGAAACCACAGAAGAAAGTGAACAGCTCGTTCATCAGTTCCACATTCCCGCTCCAGTATGTAGGACACACAATACACACACACACACACACACACACACACCACAGTGAACATTAAGTTAGGCTTTTGTCGTCTTATAGAAAACTGAGAGGTTCACTCATTTCAGCTCTTTTACCCCACTGCTTCTGTTCATTAACTATTAATAAGATATAAGTTAACTAAGTTAATATAGTAATATTACTATATATATATATATATGTAATATATTATATAGTTAATATATTTAAGGAGCCAGAGCCTTCAGTTACCCAAGGGCTCCTCTTCCTTGGTGGAACCCAGCTTCAGTTGTGGTTCTGGAGCAGACACCCTCTCCACATTTAAAGCTAGGCTTAAGACGTTCCTCTTTTGATAAAGCTTATAGTTAGGGCTGGATCAGGTTGAAGTCCTTGAACCATCTCTTAGTTATTGCTTGCTATAGCCTAGACTATCGGGGGATTTCCCATGGTGCACTGAAGGCTCCTCTCTTTCCTCTCTCTCTCTTTCTGCACTCCATTCATTGTCCCATTAATTGCATGTTTACTAACTTCACTTCTTCCCCGGAGCCAATAAGTGGATCAATATTGTTAAACTGAACATTGGATATATAATATAGAAAATCTTAAGACCAGAGGAGGGAATTACAAGTATTCACATGTGCTATTGGGGTGGAACGTATCAAGTTGAAAGGCCTCTGCACACCCCCCTTTACGCGACCACGTGACTGATCAGTCGGCTCCCGTCTCCTGGGAGTCGGTCAAAAAAAGTACCTCCGAACACACCGAACCGCGCCAACTGGAGCGTACGTTCTGGCCGTGTGCGCGAGCGTAATACGTCCCATAAACAGCAGGCGCGGCTAATCTGTGTTGTCGGCCCAAAAAAAATGAAAACCGGGAAATGACGGATACTGTAGACCTAGTAACACAGAGCACACGGCGTTCAGTCATTGTTTTCATCAGAACAGTGTTAGATAGAGTCAACAAGATTGTTATTTGTCATTACTCGCTGAACGGAAAATACGATGCTAATAATAACAAGATACTGGCGTTTTGGCGTAGACATGTTTACCATCGTCCACTTCGGTTTTCTCGGTTGCACTCACTGATTCGCTAGTCAAAGGGCTAGCACTGCACCAATCAGATTGCGCATTGAGGCCGGGACGCGGCCACTGGGCCGATTCTACATTCGAATCGGTCGTTTCTGTAAACCTTCCCTTTTCCATCATTCCCCAAACGTTTCTCAGTGGGATTTAGATCAGGAGCACGCAGGAAGAGGGGCGAGTGTTATTCTCCTGGGAAGAAGTCCTTCCGTCAGGCGGGCGTTTGTGAACTGCCAGTGGATCACCTGTTGAAAGACCCAATCATCACCGCACAGACGAAGGACCCTCAGTCAGGAGGAAGACTGCTGCAACATCCCGCCCACATAGCTTTAGGGTTACGGTTTTGACGTTCCCTCCCAACCTGAAGCTCAGTTCCATTGGAAAGAAAAAAGCTCCTCAGATTCATGAGGAGCCTCCTCCACTTGTGCCGCCTAGAAAACATGTCCACTGATCTCCTTTTTAATGGCAGTAACGTTGGGAAGCCATCAAGACCGTCAAAGGTTAAAATGGTTTCTCCATTAGAAGAATAAATCTTTTCCACCTTTCAATGTCCATGTTTGGTCCGTAAAGTTCAACCATTGCAGTTTGTGGTTGGGAGGAGATTTGGCCTTTGAAAGACGTTTTCTGTTCCTTAAGAGCCCTTCTGTCGCAGGACGCCATCTGATGGTTATTGGGCTACATGTCAGCATCAGTAAGGGCCTTAATCTGGGTCGAGAATCAGTCCGTGTCTTCCACGGACCCCCGTTGGATCCTCCGGCTCCAAGGCAGTTGTGAAAATGTTTTTTGGGTCTAGCTCTTGACTTTCTGTCCAATCTTTGGCACAGATTTGGACTTTTAATCTCTGGTGTTAAAAACTTTAGAGAACAGCCTGTTTTAGTTGAAATACAGTTTTCAATAAATTACTGGACTCTATTGGTTTTATTCTGAAGTTCTTCTTACAACCTTGGGTTACCGTTGCCACCAGCACACAATTAAATACTTCCTCAGGGGAGTGTAGGATAGATTTATATATAGATTATTTATATTATTTATATTTTATGTAGCCATGAGACAACCATATTGTTATTGTTTATAAATGATTATTATTTGCTATTAATTCTATTATTAATAATAATAATAACTATTAATATGATTTATTTTGTCATTTAAACATTTTATAAGTCAATTCGAGTTCCCATTCATTGAATTTGTTTATTACTTTAGTTGTTTTATTTTTTTATTTTGTTTATTACAATCCATGGATTGATCCAGATTTATTTCGTAGATTAATGTAATTATCGGGGGTGTTTCCGGTTCCGGTCTGACTGTGGTACCCACTTTACTGTAACCCCTTCATATCATCAGCGATCAATAATCCTATCAATAAACAGTATCGATCAGCTGACTTCACCTCCCGAGCGATCTGGTTGAGAGATCGTCTCAGCCGTCACTTTCTCCCCGGGTTCGGGATCCTTTCCTGCCCGGTCCCTGAGTCCCATCGTCGAGCAGTCTTTACCGTAGCCGGGAATTTATCCACCCGGAGGTCTCCTGTAGTCCGGATCATTACAGACCCGGTCCCCAGAGCCCGGCAAGAACAATAAAAAATCCGGGTTGTGTTTACAAATCTGGGTGTTTTTCTAAACGCGGTTCGGGCGTCCACCTTCTCTCCGCTTTACAGATCCTGCAGGCTCCGCGTTCTGGACCTGATTACCGGCTTGGAATGCTGCACCGGGGGATCTGTAGTCCCAGAAGATCCGCACTCGGTGTGTGAAGTGGGGAGAATATGAAATCGATCAGTTTGAAGGTCGATAATATCCGATACCTTCAAACGTCCGCAGCGCTTGCGGCCGGGAGCTGACGTTACCCGCTGCCCAACGTCACAACCGGAACGTCAGAACCACCGGTTACTGTTACCGTGCCTCCGTTCACATCCCTCAGTGAGACGAGCCGCCACCGCAGCGTCGGGTGATGCGGCCCGTAGCTCGTTAATCCGCCACCGATAACCGCCGCCCCAACGTTTACTGCCCGTTTCCTCCGGAGACCCTTGAAGGCCACACGGGGCAGATACAGGGCCCTGAACGCACCGCTGAGACACTTTTGCTCCGCAGCGGGGCCGAGGAGGGAGAGGCTCTTATTGTGGAGGGGCGGATGTTCACTCTGTCAGAGCGAACATTTAGATACACACGGAAGTCTCTGTTTTCAAAATAAACGGGTACGATTATCAGGTTGCTTTCATTGATAATATTGATATTATTTCAATTCCAATTCTAATTAATTCAGTTTTATTTGTATAGCACCCAATTCATAACAGAAAGTTATCTCAGGACACTTTTCCAAATAGAGCAGGTCTAGACGAACTCCTTTTAACATTTACAGAGACCCAACAGTACCACCATGAGGCAAGACCTTGGAGACAGGGGCAAGGAAAACTGGCTTTAACAGACAGAAACTAAAGACCAGAACCAGAAACGGCCAAGATCTAGGGAACCACTAAGAGAGAAGTAACAGACAAGAATCAGAACAGAAATGTAACACAACAACAGCAGCAACAACTACAAAAAAAAAATTAAATGATAAACAAAAAAAAATAATAATGACTCGCATGACTATCATATCTCTGAAAACAAGAACTGGTGGAACAACGACCACAGCAGGACACAGCAGGACGACACAGGACCCAGACAAGCGAGCAAGCACGACCAACAACAGTCAAAACTCGCCAGACAACAACAATAGTCAACACAAAACCAAATAACCAACATCAATCAATCACAAACAGCAAATTAAAATCAGTGCAAATTAATGCCCACCATGGCCCACCTAGACCAGCGACCCACATGCAGAGGCTCCAACCAGGATCACAATCTCAGCAAAACTGACAGGACGATAAAGCACAAACAGAACAATACCGAGGGAAGAACAACAGTGTCAAAAGTCTCGAATACACCAACTTACAACATGGAACATGCAATTTTTGAGTGCAGAAACAAGATGATGAGAGGAGAGCAAGAGAGGAAGCTCAGGTGCATTCATGGGGAAATACCCAACGATAGTCTAAAGGCTATAGCAGCAATAACTAACAAGAGAATGGTTCAGGACAATACCCTGATCCACAAGTACACTAACTAAACTAAAACTTACTCACAAAAACAAGACAACACCTCATATACAAGAACAACTACTCTTAAATGTAAGACGAAAGGGTTCTGCCTCCAAACCACAACTGGAAGCTGGTTCTCAACAAGCGACGAGAGCTTGGTAATACCTGCAAAGCTTGGCTCCTCTCTACAGCTTTTTACCACGACTATAGAGAAAAACACACAAAGTTAGCCAAGCATTAATCCTATTAATAATCATTATGTTCTTTAATGTATTACTATTATTATGTGAAAAAAATCTGTAAAATCTGTTTATTCTTTAGGTTTTAACACTTGAATGAATTTATTGACATGCATTTAATATAAATCATACATATAATGATGCATCAAGTATTGATAATATCTAACGAATCTAATAATTAAACTAACTCCTCTGTAGCAAAACCAGTAAAAGAATGAAATGTGGACCATTAAACACCATCAGGCATCTCTGTCCTCTACAGCTGTTTAGTGAATGAATTAATATCAGATTTGATATTGATTTACTTTGCTCTTACTGAGACCTGGCTTGCTCACGAGGAGTATGTTAGTTAAATGATCTACCCCCCCCAGTCAGCATTAATACTCACATCCCCCGAGGCACACGGCCGAGGAGGTGGAGTGGGCAAGCCCATATATATTCGAGGCGTTTTAATGGACCCTAACCTAAAGATAATAATAATAAAAACAATAATTATTATTAATAATAATAATAAAGAACAATAATGATTGTTTAAATTAAAGGTTAAAATATTACAGACATAATAATAAAAACAAAATATAGTGTTTATGACTGAAGGAAACAAATATAAATGTTAAATTATTGATTTAATAAATGTTTTTATAAAAACAGTTAATTTACAATAGTAAGCGGATGTTTAAAACATTCTGATTTATTTGAATAATAATATTTTTAAATAATAAAACTATATTTATGTTTTGATTGATTTGATTCTGTTATTTTAATATTGAATTGACTCAATCATAAACTCATCAATAATCAATTATCAATCATTATCAATCATTAATAACCGTTTGTTTCTCTTCCAGTATGAAAATACTCATACGGGCTTTTATTTTGAAGGTTACCAGGGCAGTCGTTTATTTGAGTTTGTTGTCATTTCCGTTAGTTTGACTGAATACTGTATCCGGTCACCAGTTTCAAAATAAAAGAAGGATCCAGACTCAATCAGTCTTTTATTGATTGTTTATTGATCAGAGAGCCGAACACCGACACGGATATCAACATCATCAATACAGTATTTCCTTTTATCTATAATCAATACATCCATCAAACTAAACGTTTTTATTCTTCTAAACGTCAATATTACCAATACTGATCAATAGCATCCTCTTTACGATCAGCAGTCGATCAATAGATTTGTCTCTTGTTATCCTGGAATTCATTGATATCATTGTGTGAAATGCTGAAGACATGTAACAAATCAATTATTTCTGTTAAAAAGCTGATCATTTAAATCTACGGAAGCTCAAAGATGCCAAGATTACATCAATTTAAAGCTTTGTAAAATATTTGAAGACTCAGATTTTTCATATTAATAATTCTGATTATTCAGTTTATTAAATAATTAACTAAACTATTTTAGTGTAATTTCACATCAGAATCCTTTTTTAACTGTAATTAAACTAAATTAATGTTCTTTATTTGTTTTATCTAAAAAAAAAAAGGTTGTGGATTTTAATTATTTCTTTAATATCTTTACTTTGAATTCTACATTGTTTTATTTTATATTATTTTTTCTTTTTCTTTTGAAGGACAAGAGTATATTTTTATTAAATAATAACAATAATAATAATAATAATAATAATAATAAAGGAATTAATTTTAGAGCCAAAAAGGAAAAAGAAGATTAATGTTGAATTCACACATTTTTCATTCTTTAATCTGAATTTGTATTATTTTAGTTTGATTAACTTTAATCTTAAAGTGTAAATGAACAACAACAACAACAACAACAACAACAACAACAAGCTTTGTGTTGCTCTCAGCTGGTTCCAGCAGGTTTAGTACATGTTGTTTGATTTCCACTGAGCTCCGTTTGTGTTTTCTGTCAACAACAACAACAACAACAACAACAACAACAACAACACAGTCAGTTTACTGTTCATACATCTGTAAACATGTTTGTATTTTGAACCCTCTGATAAATAAAAAACAATGATTGTGTCAACATATTGTTTACATTTATTACAGTGATAATAAAAAGTATTTCTTACTGCAGAACTCTTGTGTTGATTTTTTCCTCTGATGAGCTCCAGAAACCTGTTTTTATTCAAAGAAACTTTATTAAAAACGAATAAAATAAAAGACGTAGTCACATCTTGAGCAGCTAATTATCTAGCTAATGTTTGATGCAGATTAGCTAGCTCGTTAACAGAAGTCCTAAAATGGGCGGGGCTTAGAGTCAATTATATTCAATATACTTATATATATTTAATTTAATATACATTCACAGTTAATCTTTTTTATGAGATACAAATCTTTTATTGACAAAATTACATAATTATAACTTCTTACAGTTCAACACAAAGTTCCATATGAATGTTCTGTAGTTTTAAATAGTTTTAAATAAAGTAAATGAAGAATATTTTCTAATAATTACTGACAGTAATATTGATCATGTTGTAATCAATTTAATATATTTAACAATCTGACCTTCTTCTTCGATCCTACAACGTTCAAAGCAGCGATCTTACTCTCAATATCCGACACCTGCAGAGAAAACAATAATAAATACATCAATATCACAACATCCCATAATTCATTATGAGATCTAATAAACAAACAATCTCATTATTATTCTATTAATTCCTCCTGACGGAAGAATTCTGTGAAACTGTTTTCATTGAATGTTTACATTATTAGTCAACTGATGACCCTGACCCTTAGCCAATTTCCCTTCAGGGATTAATAAAGAATCCATCTCGTTAGTGAGTTACACTGATAGCTAAACAGGCAGATATTCTACATAAATTATTAGTGAACTGTTGACGGTTATTTTATTATTATTATTATAATTTGTTGTATTTATAAGATTCTTCTGATCGTAAAACATCTCCTGAAAGTGGTAACTGTACAGGTGGACTTCATACAGGTGTGTGTCCCCGCCCACCTCGCTCTCGGCGCTTTGGACTCTGGCGGCGGTCAGCGCCACCACGTCCTCCAGCTCCGACAGCTCTGAGTCCGTCGTCCCTCCGAAGCGGTTCTTGGCGCTCTGCTCAAGTCGCCGCAGTTTCGTCTCCAGTTCATACGACTGACCGGCTGCGATGTACACCTGGACAGGTAACACAATACACACACCTGTGTCAGCTGAGAGGGCGCTAACACACCTAAACACCAACAACAACAACAATAACCCAACAATAATAATAACAACAACAGGGTTGCGTATGACTGTAAAACAGTGATGGTGAAATCCACTAATAATCATCAGCTGATTGTAAAAAGTATCTTAAAGGGAAATGATCACGTGATCAATATTTTATTATTATCAGTTTTTGTTCTTTTAATTTAATATGGTAATTAGGAGGTTAAACAACCGTAAACACATCACTGAGAACTGGAATTTCACCCGGACCTGGACCCGGACCCGGACCAGACCGGACCCGGTTTGTTACAGATACCCAGCCCTGTTGGTGAGACAGCAGCCGGGGAGAGTAAAGCCAGTCCAGACATTTGAATCATGCTTCAGACGCGGCGGGAGGATTCTGCTTAGTTTGACCTTTGGACAAAAAGAGGTTAGGGGGAAACGAGCAGTTTATGATTGAAGCTTACATTTTCCTCAAGTTCCCTGAAAGCATCATCTGCTTGCTTAACGTCAGTGCCTACTAAGTGGGATCTGTCGACCGGCTCTGAGAGGCCGTACTCGACCATTGCGTTTTCTGTGGCATTAATGGTTCTCAGGACCTCAGTGGTGAGGTCACAGAGGGCAGCAGCAGTTGATCTCTGAAAGCCATGTAGAGGGACAGATGTTAGCAGCTGGAAAACAACACCTGGTCCTGGAGCAGCTACCGGCCTGGAGCCACAAACACTGCTCACTTTGGTACCGATGATACTTCATTATTCATATCATCACTACCAAATATATTCAGTCCGATCGTGGCCAATGTTGTACACTCTCTGTGTCGGTGATCAGAACAGGATACAGGTTCTAACGAGAACCATCAGGAACCTAAACTCCCTCCGAGTCCACAATATGAATCATAACAACGGCTTTTACTACTCTTGTCTTCGATGATAAATAAACACCACTGAAGAAGAAGTCTGCAGGTGTCTGGATCCAGGCAGGTAGCTGCTGACATTTACATAAGCTGCTGTTCTGACCTCTGAAGTTTGTTAACTGACGCAGTACTAAGGACTAATCTTTATAAAAGAGCAGATTAAACACATTCTTTGATTTCTTCTTGTTCTTAAAGCTTCTAAATGTAACGTTAACGAATATTGTTTCCAAACCAACAATGAGAGCAGCTCAACTCGCACTACGTGACCTCTGCTGGCATGGCGGCGGCAAAAACGCCAAACTCAAGGCTTTAGAACGATTCTCCACAAACTGATGGGTGATGTCACACTTGGTTGTAACCCCAGCTTAGCTTAGCTACAGTTAGCTAGCTGGATGCCACTACTTCACATTGCGCTTGGCTAGTAGAAAGCTACTGTTAGCATTGTACTGCTACATCATTTATTGTTGGCTAACATCAACACTGTCAGAATACATCAGTCAGTATCATGGATAGCTGGGGAAGCTAACGTTAGCCAACTAACATATCCACTCAGAAAGTATTTTGCTAACGATAATGTTAGCCAGCTAGCTGCAACCCAATGCTGAATAACGATATCCGTTATCTGCCAGCCGGCAAAGTAACAAACAACAAACCAGCCACATCAGCGCCGGGAGTCTGGAGGAAGCTAGCTGACAGTATTTTACTATGTTAGCAGCCAAGCTGACGTTATCCAGCTAACAGCACAAT